GATGCAATCTAGAACTTACTGAAATCTTTGAGTGGTTTTATTGATCCCTTTTTCTCTGAAATGTGTTTAATCTCGTTCCTGTGTGCAGCAGCAGAGGCGTGAGGATTGGCTTTGGTTGAGGAATACTAACCCAGGCCTTGCTGCCTCACCAGGGTGCCCACTTCCTTGGGACACGGCCTTTCAGTGACTTTTCATGGTGCCCAGGTTGAAAGAAATCAGTGACATCTCTGTTTATTCAACACTTAGGCTCAGACAACTTAAGTATTTATGCCCCAACAACTTGATAGCCCTTTAAAACAATAATACATGTAAATGTAAAAAATAGAAATTTTTTGTCATTCTTAATTGACCATATTCCTTTCTGATGAAGTGTGCTGTGCACCAGTTGGGCACTGCACAGCCTTTCAAACCCCGGAGTTGGGGAGACACTACTACCTTTATTTTCACTTCCACGTTGCCTTTTCCACATTGAGTTTTGCACAGCATTTGCATTTATCACACCCCAGCTGTGCAAAGACGCAGCCTCACAGTAAGGAATTGACCCTGGGCTGCCTCGCTCTGGGGCTTTGTCCAGTGCTCAATAATTGCTGTTTTCCTTAAAAAATAAAAAAAATAAGAGGTTTCCCTGTGAGTTTTTACAGTTTGGGAACCTAGGTCCAAACTTTTCACATCTGTGGAAAAATTCCCTAAGGCTCTTTAGTCGCCCCGCATGAATTCAAGAGGAGCAGCTGTATTATATGTTTCCTGGTTGCCAGGCTGTGGAACATTACTAAGCTTAACACCTACATGTGGAGACTTTGTCTATGACACAGGGAGGTAACCACCCACCTCGCAGGCTGAGAGGGTTAGATGAGGTAATGAGTGGACAGCTCTTCGGGCAGCACCTGGCTGTGGTACGCGATGCTGTGGCTGCTGTCATTACCTCTCCTATGGGTGTTGCTAGTATGGCATAGCTGAATTGCATGGTTACTCTCAGATTTGGAAATTTCTCTTAAGATCTTTAAGATCTTAAGCTTTTAGTGTATGGGATTTCCAGAAATGGAGTAGTGAACCCTAGCTGTTCATTAAGCCAGAAAATGGTCATTTATAATGCAGAGGATAGGCAGGCTAACTCAGTGAGAGCCTTCGTTCTACCCCAAGCATGTCAGACTCCAAGGCTACCATGGGCCAAATAAATAAGGTGTAAGTGTATGTGGAGCAAAAAAGCAAAGGCTTCAGTTTTCATAGAAATGTAGGTTTATTTCGATAGAGACATGCTGAATACAAAGGGCTGAAATAAATGTGTATAACAGGATATTGTAAAAATTAAGTTATGAAACTTTTATTAAAACGTTTCTTATATATTGTTATATTGGCTGGGTTGCAAAAATATTCATTGTGGGCTGCATGTGGCCTGCGGGCCGCGAGTTTGACATGCTTGGTCTACCCGCTGGAGATGTTTGAGCAAGCCCAGATGGAGTCTACCTGATGACCCATTTGGCACTTCAGGGTTCAGGGCTAATCAGTCTTTGTCCCACGTGGCTGGTTCTCAATGAACTGGCTGTAGTTCATGTTCAGATGTCTGTGGAAGATCTGAGTCAGCCATCATTCATTCCCATTTCTGTTTTACTCATTAACAAACCCAGAGTGTGAGCCGGTTGGCAATGGAAACAAGAAAAGTGATGAAGGGGAATCATTCCAGAAAAACTGCTGCCTTTGTCCGGGTATGTTCTAAAGATAAGACCCACAGACTGAACTTGGTGGGCTGTGGGTTTCCCAAATTAATTTTCCTTACATGTCTATGGGCCGGCCAGTTTCTGAATGTTTCTGAAAGCAAGGTCAGTGGAGCCTGAGTTTGCACATGTGCTAAGGTGGCCAGGGGTGGGCTTGGGGCTGTGTGCCAGTTCTCTGTAATTATGCTGTCTCTGGAAGGTCTAATATCTTTTCCCCTATTGATCAGTTCCCAAATTTGAAATAAAATTTAAGCTTCTTGAGTGTACTGCCTGAATTTTTACCTAAGTAACACAACCATGTCTTAAAAAATGAAATCCTAGGCAAAACAATGACATCCAAGCATCCCAGCCCTGCCCCTTCTCTTCTCATCCTCTCTCTTCAGTCAACCACTTCGAACTCTTTAGCAACTTCTTCTAATCACCTCCACTTTTAAATTTTTTAAATATATTTTTATTGATTTCAGAAAGGAAGGGAGGGAGAGAATCATGAATTGACTGCCTCCTATCTCCACTTTTAAAAGTAACTGGTGTAAACAGCTGCTTTAAACTTACTGCTGTTAGGTATTATCTCTGCCCTCCCTTCTGTGCTGGGAGGGTTTATTTTTCATGCCTGTCCCAAAGAGACAGGCACTGCAGAGGCAAGAGGGGAAGTTGGAGCTCAGAATCAGAAATTACTTTAAGTGTTTTTGCCTGAAAATATGGACAGATGAGAACCGGTGTTCTGATCTGCTGTGAGGGCATTGCCAGCTGACCTGCTATGTCTCCTCTCCAGGCCTGTGTTGCCTACTGCTTCATTACCATCCCATCCCTGGTGGGCATCTTCACACGCCTCAACCTCTACCTGCTTGCTGGCCAGGTGGCCTTGGCCAATCAGTGCCTCTCCCAAGGTAAGCCCCTCCCCTCCTCTCAGGCCCCCCTGCCACTAGGAAAGCCACCCACAGGGCATGTGGGCATGTGCATGAGAGTAGGTGGGGTGAAGAGAAGGAAGGTTCCTTAAGGAGGAAAGGGAAAGTAATCAAGGATGAATTTTAAATATTTCCTTAGTAGGATGCACATCAGACATGCCCACATTTAGAGTCAGACAGATTACAGAGTGTGGCTGTTTTCCTGTAAGGACCATCTTAAATCGCAGACATGCAGGCTGCCTGTGCCTAAGGAATCTTAGACATAAGGCAGAATCCTCCCCGCAGATCATATCTGTCATTGTTGATGTTGGTGTGAAGCCCCAGAAAGACGTGGGAGGAATCTAGAAAGGACAGAGTGAACACTGTCTGCAGCTCGCTGTTGGGGATGAAGACTCCGCTCAAGACCCATCTCCGTGCTCACTGTGCATGGCTTATTTGGGAGGGATCCCCCTAGTGTCCGGAGGGTGATGGGGAAGAGGAGGGCGAGGGAAGGAAGCCAACCAAGGGGACCCTCCTGGGAAGGTCCTGCTGGGAGCGGCCACAGTCCACTCCTCCTGGGACCTCCGGGAGGGAGTGCTCATGGCCCTGGCGTTACCCCACCCTTTCCTCCGTCTGTCACTGACCCCGGCTGCTGCTGGGGCACCAGCTTCCCCGCACTCAGGCCTGTGCCTCACGTGAGCCAAGAGAACGCCCTCAGCAAGGATCACAGTGTTTCTGCTGGAGGTTCTTGTCGCCTGCAGTGTGGCCCGTAGCAGGGCCTGCCCAGCAGGCTGTAGCATAGCCTGAAAGAATCCTGCCCCATTTACAGAGTGTTTGTTACATGGTGAGCCTTTGCACATATCTCCTCTCCTCCTCCTGATAGCTACACAAGGCCAGTCCTGTTGTTGGGACCCCATTTTCTAAGTGAGAAAACTGAGGAGGAATGGCGAGGGAGCCAGCACTCAGCCCCTGCTCTGGCCAAGGCCATGTCCTTTCCTATGCATAGAGGCATGTGCAGTGCAAGCCTCGGAAGGCTCGGGAGTTTCTCTAGTGCTGCCTGAGGCGGACTGACGCTTTCAGGGGTGTCTCCCCCGCCGCCATCTCCCACCTGACATCAGTGTGCGCCAGAGGGAGCTGCCAGCCCTGGCTTGGTGTGGAGGGCACGCTGGGCTGGTCAGACCATGGTCCTTCCTCATCTTTAGCCTTGGCCTGGCAGTCTGGCACCTGGATCTGTGTCTTAATTCATCTGGGGCAGCTCTGGGCATCCGAATCTTCATACGTGACTGCTGGCCCAGGCCAGGAGCTCAGCTGGTTAGGGTGTTGTCCCAATATGCCAAGGTTGTGGGTTCCATCTCCAGTCGGCATATATAAGAAGGAACCCGTGAGTGCATTACTAAGTGGGACAACACATCCATGTTTTTCTCCCTCTCTCTCTCAAATCAATAATAAATAAAGAAAGAACATGATTGTTATCCAAGAACCTTTTCAAAACCTGCTTGGTCTTGGTTTCGACTCCTGGGAACTCTCATGTCTCCCCAGTGCATTTGGAGTTAAACTCAACTCTTTGCTGGTCCGTCCCCACATGGCCTGGTCCTGCAGCCTCTGCCCTCTCACACCGCTCTTCAGCCTCACAGGCTTTATTCTGTTCTGTGAACAGGTGAAGCCGCCTCCTGACTCAGTCCCTTTGCACTTGCGACGCCCTCTCTGTGTAGTGGTCTCCCGCAGATATTCGCATTAACAAGCAGGCAGGCAATGGGAACCACGGTCGGTGCGGCCACCCACGGCCATGGCGGGATGGTTTCTGACTCTGTGTGTGTTTCCTCATCGTCGGGGCCCCACCCAGCAGGACTGTGCATTACCAGAGCAGCCTTCTGCCCTCACTATCTGCTGGTACACGTGGGCTTTCTTCTAGGGCCACCTTGGCAAGGACAGTTAGCATGACACAAGGCAAACAAAAACTATCAGCTGCCACCCAGCCTGCTGTGCAGCATGACGATCAGGTTAGTTCATCCCATTGGTTTGAATGTCAGAGGTTTTAACACTTACAAATTGGTTCTCTCTTTTTTTAATTTTTAATATGTTTTTATTGATTTCAGAGAGGAAGGGAGAGGGAGAGAGAGAAACATCAATGATGACAGAGAATCATGGATCAGCTGCCTCCTGAACGCCCCACACTGGGGATCGACCCCACAACCCTAGCATGTGCCCTGACTGGAATTGAACCTGGGATCCTTCAGTCCACAGGCCGATGCTCTACCCACTGAGCCAAACCAGCCAGGGCTGAATTGGTTCCCTCTTTAAAGTCGAGGTGTCTGGCCCCTGTGGGGGCGCCTGCGTTCGGAAGCGCTCACATGTGGGAGTGCCCACCTGTGGAAGCGCCTGCAAGTGGTGTCACACTGTTGGGTGGGGCTCTGGTTTAATTGAGGGTGTTTTCCACCAGCACCTTGTTCTCTGGATGTGGCTGGGAGGTGTTTCCAACTGGAGGTGTATTTGGACCAAATACATTTGGTCTTGTCAGGCAGTTTAGAATTTCACTTGTTGGGTCAGTGTTTTGACCTTGGCACTTTTTCTATAAAGAACACTCCATCTTCTAACCCTCACTTCCATCCTCCAGTCTCTCCCTGTCTCTATCCCTTGTGCTCCCTTTTCCTATCTGCTCTGCTTCCTACCTCTTCTTTCTCTTTCTTCCCCCTTGCTTCTTTCCATATCTTCATTTCTTAGATGATTCTGTGGAACTATTACCTAGTCAGTAGTCTCGAAAGCGCATGTGCGCTTATGTGTGTGTTCGTGTGTGTGTGTAGTACGTGTGTGCACGTGTGTGGATATGTATGCACGTGTGTGCATGTGTGTGGAGTGCGTATCTGTGTGTGCATGTTTTGTGTATGTGTGCATGTGTGGAGTGCGTGTGTGTGGAGTACATGTTTGTGTGTGCATGTGTGGAGTGTGTGTGCGTGCGTATGCATGTGTGCACGTGTGTGCAGTGCATGTGTGTGTGCATGTGTGCGTGCATTCCTTCAGACATTAGATTGTTATTTCTCTAACAAAGTGGGTGTGCACTTGAATAGGTACAGACAGGACGGAGCCTCCGTGCACACACCCTCCTGCACCTTGTTCCCAAATGAAGTGGCCCGAGAACCACACTCTCCCGTGGTCAGTGGGCGGGTTCAAAGGGACAATCCAGGTTGAACCCTTGGCCCAGGCAACCGTGAATTCTAGGCTTTCTGTGAACATGTGCCACTTCTTTTTTCACTTAATAATCTAAAGCCAGTTTGGCTAAGGTTCTCTGACTGATGGTAAAAGAAGAAGGGAGGATGGGAGGCAGCAGCAGCACCTCCACTGGGAATGCCCACCCTCAGTCAGTTCTCGGGAACCTTTCTCGGGCCTGCCTGCCATCCCAGCTGCTCAGACAACTCCCTGGGATTCTCAGGACGGGCCTCAGGCCTGTGGAGAAGAAAGCAGAGCCTGTGTTTTTTTAGTTTCCCTGATGGACTTTCTTGTGTTGCAGCTGATGCCTTTTTCAAAGCCGCCATCAGCCTCATCCCAGAAGTCCCCAAGACGATCAATATCGATGGAAAGATGCGGCCGTCAGAACCCTTCCTCTTGGAGTTCCTCTGCAATTTCTTCTCGACTTTGTTAATAGTTCCGGTGCGTCCCCCATGAGAGCTGAAGGTGGTGTCTGTCTCTGACTTGCTGATGTGGGCGTCCTCGGCCCTAAGCATGCGGGGTGTTCTGTCTGTGCTGGTTTGTAGTCAGATGCTTGAATGTCTCAGTGTATTTCCCACTCATTTTGTGTCCTGAATGTATTAGTTGAGACTCTCCATATGGCCAGGGGGGTCACTTAGTGATTTAGGGGTGCAGGCTCCAGGACCACAATGCCTAGGATGGACTCCCAGGCCTCCTCCGCACTCTGCAGTCTTGGGTAATAGATGATATTACTGGGCTGCAGTTTCTTTGTCTATAAAATAGGAATAGTAATAATAATAATAATAGTATCTACATCTAAGTATTGATGAGGATTAAATGAGTGAATATGCATATGTGGTTGGGACAGTGACTTTGCCCATAGGAAGCACTGAAAACGGGGATGGCAAGTATTAGAAACCAAACCATGACAGCCAAGACCAAAGGGGTGTTGTTAGCAGGATCCTGGCATTTCGTGTGGAAGGTAGGTGAGCAGTTAGGCTTGGGCGGGAATTCCCCGCCCCCAGGACATGCACAGGAGGGGCTCTGAGCCAAGGCTCCAGCCATGCCTGAGGGTCAGCAGGGTGGCCATGAATTTAAACGGGAGAAAGCATGCCGTCTTTGTTCTTACAAACCTCATGAGATGTAGCCTCTCCCTCTGCTCCAAATTATAGGCACTGAGCCAGTGTTTGTTGTAGTATCTGGGACTTTGTCACCAATAGATTAATCAGCAGTGTGCTCTCGCCAGGTGTCTCAGTTGGAGCATATCCCTGGGCATCAAAGGGTCTCGGGTTCGATTCCCAGTCAGGTTGCAGGTTCCACCCCCAGCTGGGGCATGTGCATGAGGCAACTGATTGATGTTTCTCTCTCCCTTCTTGCCTCTTCCTCTAGAAACAATGAAAGTCATATCTTTGGGTGAGGATTAGAGAGAGAGAGAGAGAGAGAGAGAGAGAGAGAGAGATGATAGATAGATAATTTAGATAGATGATAGATAATTTAGATAGATAAATAGAGAGATAGATAGATGATAGATTAGATAGATAGATAGATGATAGATAGGGGGAGAGAGAGAGAGAGAGAGAGAGAGAGAGAGAGAGAGAGAGAGAGAGAGAGAGAGAGAGAAGTCACCAGTATGCTCATATCACAATCCAGGTGTGAAAGATATTTCAGAACATTGATTATGTGCTTTTTTCCCTAAAAGCACAGAAGTTATTGGTCTTATTGTTACGTCTGTTATCTAAAGGCATTCACCAAGGAGTCATAGATTACACATGACACCTATCCTGAAGAAACATTGGTGACTGTTTCAGTGCAGTTAGCTTCTTGGTAGTCTCAGGATTGCTGCAGCTATAGGGAGTCTTCTTTGAGTCTGTATCAATTTTGGAATATTTGGTCTAGATCTGTTAAACATGCCATTGGTATTTTAATAGGAATTGAATTTAATCTGTAGATTACTTTGGGTAGTTTGGACATTTTAATGATGTTAATTCTTCCAAATCATGAACACTTACTTAAATCTTCCTTAGTTTCTTTCTTCAGTGTCCTGTAGTTTTCCAAGTAACCTCCTTGGTTAAATTTATTCCTAGGTACCTTATTTATTCATTTTTTTTGGTTGCAATTGTAAATCAAATTGTTATCACAAGTTTCTCTTTGTGATAGATAGTTCATTATTATACTACTGATTCCTGAATATTAATTTTGTAACCTGCTACTTTGCCAAAATAATTTATTAAATCTTTGTAGTTTTTTGGTGGAGTCTTCAGGGTTTTCTATGTACAATATTATGTCATCTGTAAGAAATGAGTTTTACTTTCTTATTTTTCAATTTGGATGCCTTTTATTCTTTTTGTCCGATTGCTGTGGCTAAGACTTCCAGTACAATGTTGAATAAGAGTGGTGAAAGAGGGAAGCCCTATCTTATTCCTGATCTTAAGGAAAACGCCTTTAATTTTTGCCCATTGAGTATGATGTTGGCTGTAGGTTTTTCATGCATAGCCTTTATCATGTTGAGGTATGTTCCCTTTATTCCTAGTTTGCTGAGTGTTTTTATTGTAAATGGTGGATTTTATCTAGAGGCCCAGTAATAATAATACTGGGTGCAATAATCAAACTCCCTTCCTCTCTGAAAGCAATAATCCCTTGCTTTTTCTGCTTCTATGTATATGATCGTGTCATTTTTATCTTTCATTTTGTTTATGTGATGTATCACATTTGTTGATATTTGAATATTGTACCAACCTTGCATCCTAGGAATAAAACCCACTTGATCATGGTGTGTGATCTCTTTAATGTATTGTTGGATCCAATTTGCTAATATTTTGTTGAGGATTTTAGCATCTATGTTCACCAGTTTCTTCCTTTGTGGCGTCTTTATCTGGTTTGGGGATTAGGATGATGCTAGCCTCGTAATAAAGGTTAGAAGTCTCTTCCCTGCTCTTGGATGTTCTGGAGCAGTTTGAGAAGGGATAGGTGTTAGTTCTTTGAATGTTTGGTGAAATCTCCTGTAAATCCATCCGGTCCAGGATTTTTGGTCGCTGGGACTTTCTTGATGACTGCTTCAATGTCATTAGTTATTATTGGTCTATTCAGGTTTTCTGATTCTTCCTGATTTCGTTTTGGAATAATGTATGTTTCTAGGAATTTATTTGTTTTTCCCAAGTTGTCCAGTTTATCGGCATATAGTTGTTCATAGTATATTCTTACAATCCTTTGTATTTCTGGGATGTCAGTTGTTACTTCTTTTATTTCTGATTTTATTCATTTGTGTCCTCTCTGTTTGTTTCTTGATAACACTTGTTAAATGATCATCAATCTTTTCAAAAAACCAGGTCTTTGTTTCATTGATCTTTTGTACTGTTATTTAGTGTCTATGTTATTTATTCCCACTCTAATCTTTATCATTTCTTTCCTCTGGGCTTTGCTTGTTGCTTTTTCTCTAGTTCTTTTAGGTGGGCTAAAAGATTGTATGGTTAGGTCCATGGTCGGCAAACCGCGGCTCGCAAGCCACATGCGGCTCTTCCACAGAATACCACATGCGGGCGCGCACATACAGTGCGATTGAAACTTCATGGCCCATGTGCAGAAATCGGTATTTTGTGGAAGAGCCACACTCAAGGGGCCAAAGAGCCGCATGTGGCTCACGAGCCGCGGTTTGCCGACCACTGGGTTAGATTGTATATTTGAGGTTTTCCTTGCTTCTTGAGGTAGGCCTGTAATGCAATGAACTTACCTTTTAGGACTGGTTTTGCTGTGTCCCATAGATTTTGGGTGGTTGTGTGCTCATTTTCATTTGTTTCCTCGAAGTTTCTGATTTCTTCCTTGATCTCATTGATAATCCCTTTATTGTTTAATAACATGCTGTTTAGCCTCCATGTGTTTGAATATTTTTGAGCTTTATTTATTGTGGTTGATTTCTAGTTTCATACTATTGTGATCCAGGAAGATGCTTGATAAGATTTCAGACTTCTTGAATTTGTTGACTTACTTTGTGTCCTAACATGTGGTCTATCTTTGAGAAAGTTCCATGTGTACTTGAGAAGAATGTATATTCTGCTGCTTTGAGGTGAAATGTTCTGTAAATATCAGTTAAATCCATCTGTTTCAGATCACTCTTTTCTTGTTGATTTTTTGGTCTGGAAATCTATCTATTGATGATAGTGAGGTTTTAAAAAGTTCCCTGCTGTGACTGTATTGCTGTCAATCTCTCCTGGTAAGTCCACCAAGATTTTCTTTATATATATATATATGTGTGTGTTCCTCTATTGGATGCACATATGTTTGCAAGGGTTATGTCCTCTTTTTCCTTTTTTTTTTTTAACCCTTACCCAAGGATATGTCTTTATTGAATTTAGAGAGAGGAAGGAAGTGGGAGAAAAACATTGATATGAGAGAAACATCAATCAGTTGTCTCCCGTGTGCATCCTGATCAGGGATCAAACGTGCCCTGAATGAGACTCAAAGCTGCAACCTTTTGGTGCACAGAATGACATTCCAACCAAGTCACCTGGCCAGGGCCCTTTTGTTGAATCAACTTTTATAGTATCGTGTAGTGGCCTTCTTTGTCTCTTGTTATGGCCTTTGTTTTGAAGTCTTTTTTGTCAGATATAAGTATTGCTACCCCAGCTTTTTTTAGTTTTTTTCCATTTGCATGGAATTTTTTTTTCCATCCCCTCATTTTCAGCCTATGTGAATCTTTTGTTCTGAGGTGAGTCTCTTGTAGACAGTATATATATGGGTCATGTTTTCTTATCCATTCAGCTACCCTATGTCTTTTGATTGGAGCATTCAGTCCGTTTACATTTAAGGTTATATTGATAAGTACTTATTTATTGTCATTATTCTTTTATACCTATGTTTTTTTCTATATATGTATTTTTCTTCCTGAAGCAATTCTTTTAACATTTCTTGCGATACTGGCGTGGTGACAAAGAAGAACTCTTTTAGCCTTTTTTTTTTTTTTTAGGTCTGGCAAGCTCTTTATTTTGCCTTCAGTTTTAAATGATAGCCTTGTGGTAGGTAGTCTTGGTTTCAGATACTTGCTTTTCATGACTTTGAATATTTCATGACATTCTCTTCTGACATGTAGTGGTTCTGCTGAGAAATCAGCTGATAGCCTTATGGAAGCTGCTTGTAGGTAACTGACGGTTTCTCTCTTGTTTCCTTTAAGAGTCTCTCTTTGTAACATTTGCCATTTTAATTATGCTGTGTCTTGATTGGGACTGCCTGTGTTTCTTGAACTTGTGTGACTTTTTTCTTCACCAGGTCAGGGAAGTTTTCTGTGATTATTTTTTCAAACAGCTTCTCTGTTCCCTTGCTTATTTTCTTCTCCTCTGCACCCTACGACGTGGATGTTGTTAGAATCATGTTATACCAAAGTTCTCTTAAACTCTCCTCCTGCTTTTTAATAATTTTTCTTTAGCTGCTCTGATTGAGTGTTTGTTTGTTTTTTCTATTTTGTCTTCCAAATCACTGATTAGATCCTCTGCTTTCATCTAACCTACGTTTTATCATTTTCAGTGTATTCTTGATGTCAGATATGGTATTCTTCATTTTCAACTGGTTCTTTTTATGGTTTCTATGTCCCCTCATGCTGTTGTAGTTCTCACTAATTTCTGTGAGCATTCTCATAGCCATTACTTTGAACTCTATGTCTGATAAATTGCTTGCCTCCATTTTATTCAGCTCTTTTTCTTGAGATGCCTCCTGTTCTTTCATTTGGGGCCTGCACTTTATCTCTCCATTTTGGCTGTCTCTTTGTGTTTGTTTCTGTGTATTAGGTATAACTTCTATGAGTCCCAGTCTTTGGGTGGTCATATTATGCAGTAGGGTGTCCTGTGGGGCCCAGTGGTGCAGTCTCCTTGATCTCCTGAGCTGGGTGCTCTAAGAAAGGCCCCTTGTGGGGGTTATGTGGGCCCTCCTATTGTACCTGGCTCCTGATTGTGTTGGCCCATCGTGGCTGGCTGTGAGGCTCACTCCAACCATGGTGTGTAAGCCGCGGTGCACGTGCAGTCTCAGGAACCTTGGGGCTCAGTGGCACAGTCCTCCACATCACCTGCGCTCTGTGCTCCAGGGATGTTTCTGTGGGCTCTGTGCAGGCATCCCCATTGTAGTTGTGTCTTGAATGCTGTTAGCCCTTTCATGTGTGGTTACTCTTCTGCTGGGTGGCTGTAAGGATAAACCTTGGTCACTTTATAGGAGATGCTGTGCGGGGGCTACCCACTGGGCGTGCTTGCTCCCATAGGGTTCAGTGCCACTTGTGCAGCTAGTTAGGTCACTCACTGTGTGGTGTGAAGCCCACTGGTTGTGTTGGTGCTGGGCCCACTGGGTGGGGTCAGGTACAGATTGTGTGTAACTGGCCACACAAGACGTGGTGTGGACATCATGCTGTCCTATATAATAAAAGCCTAGGTGGCGTCACGCAAGGGCGTGACGCCCTCACCTCATCACAAGATGGCCGGCAGGGGAGGGCCGTTGGGGGCAACCAGGCCAGCAGAGGAGGGCCATTGGGGGCAATCGGGAGGGCAGTTGGGGGCGATGGGGCCAGCAGGGGAGCAGTTAGGTGGTGATCAGGTTGGCAGGCAGAAGCGGGTAAGGGCAATCAGGCAGGCAGGCAAGTGGTTAGGAGCCAGCAGTCCCGGATTGTGAGAGAGATGTTCAACTGCTGGTGCGGGATCAGGCCTAAACTGGTAGTCAGACATTCCCAAGGGGTCCCAGATTGGAGAGGGTGTAGGCTGGGCTGAGGGACATCCCCCCCACCAATGCACAAATTTTATGCACCAAGCCTCTAGTTTTATATAATAAAAGCCTAATATGCTAAGTGTCTGGAGGACTGGTTGGCTGTTCAGCCAATCAAAGTATAATATGCTAATGATATGCTAAGGCCGCTCAACCGCACGCTATGACATGCACTGACCACCAGGGGTCAGACAGTCGACCGGTTGACCAGTTGCTATGACGTGCACTGATCACCAGGGGGCACACGCTCCAACCAGTAGGTTAGCTTGCTGCTGGGGTCCGGCTAATCGAGACTGAGTCAGAAAGACTGGACATGCCCTAGAGCCCTCCCGCCTTCCCCGGCTGACCAACCTCCCACATCCCTCCCTGGCCCCGATTGTGCACTGGTGGGGTCCCTCGGCCTGGCCTGTACCCTCTCGCAATCCAGGACCCCTTGGGGATGTTGGAGAGCCAGTTTTGGTCCAATCCCACAGGCCAGGCCGAGGGACCTCACTGGTGCACGAATTTGTGCATTGG